AGCCATGAAACATGATTGCGTTGGTTTCGCACAAGGAGAACTCGGAGTGAGAGAACTGAGGTCCCCACTCAATGACAAAGAACTCGTGGCCCAGGTCCCCGAAGGTGGCAGCTGCCTTCCCCGCCGGGATGCATCGCTCCTCCGAATGGGACACCTAGGATCGAAGAATCGAAAAATCAAAAATCCGAGTCGAGTCGGGAGCCTTTGCGCCAAGGCGCGACATCCTTCATGGCATCCTCGCCGAGCTCGGTTTCATCCACAAAGGCCCTGAAGTTGGGGTTGTGCTTCATGGCGCGGATGATGAACTCCTGCTGCTTCTCCGTGATCTTGCCTTAACGCAAGGATTCCGTTCACATGGCTCGCATGGCTCGCATGGCTTGCCTCCGAACGAGGCATTCTTCCTGGGCACGGAGGCTCTCAAGCTCAATCAAGAGCCCTTGCCGGGCCGGCCACGCTTCCCAATTGCCACGCTTTGCCACGCTTTGCCACGCTTTGCCACGCTTGCCAGGCGTCTTGGGCGACAGAGGAGTGGTTGGCGCCAAGGTTGCGGCTGACGCGCTGCCTGGCAGAGGCCAGTGTGCCCAGGGGCGCGCCCGCCCGGCCCGCCCAGCCCGCCCAGCCCAAGTTCGGAAAGTTCAGCTCCGGCCTCCCATCTCAATGGCCGGTCGCTTTGGGAAGTGGAGGCAAGACTTGAGCCCGGACTCCTCAAAGACCTGAGGCAGTGGCACGCGAGTCTCTGCCCAGGCCCTCCCTAAACCCGTTTCCGACATGCGGAGTTTGCCTGCTTCGACATGGAGAGCGTCACCAGGTCGTCTGGGCCCGCAGCGATGACGGTGGCCATGTGCCTGAGAAGCAATATCCGATGCACACCGCAAGTCTGGGCAGTTTCCGCCAATGGTTCGCCTCTGCTCTGTGACGATGGCACGACCTGCAAACCAAACCTCCTGCAAGGGTCCATCAACCGTCCCCGACCTCCGATGTAGTCACCAGCGCTCAGCAAAGCACCCTCGTGCTCCTGACAAAGGCTGCTTCCACTGAGCCAAGTTCACAAAACGTCCTCGCCCTGGTCATCTCGCACCATCAGCACAGCTTGCCCCGAGTAGATCATGAAAAACGTCGTTCCAAGGTCACCTCGAGAACCCCTCGGACTGTCCGACTGGACCCCAATCCCATCGCAGCCTTGGGTGACAAGCTTCGTGTCTGGCTTCCAAGTATTCTTCTCCAGCAGCTGAGCCACCTGCACAGTCAAGCATCGCAAACCGCCAGGTGGATCGAATGGAGCATTTGGTATCGCTGTATGCCTATTGAGGCTTGGGATAGCATGGGATGGCGTGAGACCAGATTGGGCATGACCTATTTCAGAATGGCAGCTTGCAATGCTTGCAAAAGAAGTTGTGATATTGGCAGATTGGAGGGGCACAAGGAAGACAAAGCGACTTGAAACGGCGATTGCCCGGGTGCCCACAAGCAAGCTGACAGGCCCTTGAGGTCGTGAAACGAGGTGCTCCCTGCAATGTGGAACTGTGCAAAGGTGATCCCGTTGCGCCTTGGGCCACTCGGAGGGTGGCAGCTGCTTCTTGAAGAGTGGCACCTCAGACTCGACGGGAAGGCGCTTGTCTGGAAACGAGATGCGCCTTTGACCGGGCATAAGGTTCTGCCGGGGTCCCGACAGAGCCAAGGAAAGTGACGATCTGCTCAAACTTATCTCGCTCGTCGGTGAAGCTCCTATGGGAAGCGAAGTCATTGAGGGTTACTGAAACTCGAAACTCCGAACTGACCGCGCCTGAAGGAGAACAATCCAGAGATGCCTTCCATGCACGAGGCCAGGCCGCTACAGCCTCTCAAGACTCAGCCGACATCGCTTCTCAACATATCTTGTGCAGCACGGCATCTGCACATACATACACAAATGGGCACGAGAGCAAACAGCGAAGGATGCATGTAGTCTGTGATTCGCACGAGCTATACTCAGCATGATACTTGAATACGCATGCTAAGGCAGGAAGACCTCGCTGCTCGAGCTTGGCTATAAGATTGCTGTCTCGACCCTCGCATGGAAAACCTTCTGCAAAGCGCGCGCACAGTCCAACGGTCGAATAACGGCCCGTTTATGGCACAGCCGGACCTGTGCCCCGGGTGACAGAGAATGTCGGCGCTGCGCAAATTTGGCTGCTTTGCGCTACAAGTGGATCGCCCATCACTTGGAAGGATCAACTAAGCTTGCGCTTCGGGCTTTGCTCAACTGGACGCGCAGAGGTTTGCCGTTCTCTTTGGGACATTGGCTCGCTTGCACAGCGTCCACCTCCACAGCAAGTCGCAGGTGTGAGTGTGCAGGAAGCCAAAGCCAAGGAATATCTCCAAAAGTCCTCCCTTGTGAGCAAGAAAAAGAGGGATTGGGATCGCCGGGGCTAAAAATTGCAAAACCTGCATGAACATGTTTGTTACACAAAGGGGCAGCGTGAAACGACTGAAAGAAAACCAAAGATCACTTTGTGGAGTTCCTGGAGTTTGTATCGCTCAAAAACAAAAAAGGGCGAAACACCATGGCTCTAGGAGTCCGGCAAGCGGACTCCTTCTTGAAGGTGGACACCTTCACGGAAACGCCGCCTCCCAAACATTCCGAGCCGCTTTTTCTTTTTGGCATTAGGGTCTTTGCACTCGCAAGCTGTGCATGGCTCGTAGCTGGGTGCTGGGCTGGAATGTGGTGGCTCGTCAGGAAGCGTCCCCTGTCTCTGTACCGCCTCCTTCGGTAGGGAGAGCCCAGCGCGGTGTACTGTGGGACTTTCCTCCATCTCCGACGCATCCTCCAACGCACTCGCTACCGCCTGCGGAACCTCCTGTGGCGTCTCCTCTGTCGTCTCCTGTGGCGTCTCCTCTGTTGTCTCCTGTGTCGTCTTTCGTGGCGTCTCCTGTAGCGTCTCCTGCGGAGCCTCTGTTGGCACCTCCGGCGCCTCAAACGGCGCCATGGAGGTTGCGGGGATGCCTGAAGTGGACGCGTCCGGAGCTCCGTCAGGCTGACCTTTGGGATCTAAGTTCTGGGTCCGAGCCTCCTTTGGAGCGGCTTTCGCATCTGGACTCCGCTCCCCTGTCCGCACTCTGGCAATTGGATCCACTCGCGGCTCTGGCGATTTCGTCGGGGTGTGAAAGCGTAGAACCGGTCGATCCGTGTGCGGCCGAAGATCCGGCGCTGGTGCTTGCCAGGGAAGTCGGGCGCTGCCTGTCGCTAAAGCAAACCACCTCGCCACTTGGGAGACAAGGCCTGCTTGAAAGGGCACTCCCGGAGCTTGCCTGAAGATCCTGAAGTGGCAAGGCGTTGGCAAAGCGTTGGCAAAGCGTTGGCAAAGCGTTGGCAAAGCGTTGGCAAAGCGGGAAACAGAAATTTCACAAAAGGACCCAACTTCCCAGGTGACAGCGGCGCGCGGAAGTCTGTGTAGACCTTGCGCTTCGAAGCCGCGAGTCTTCAACTTTCGAACTTTTGAGGCTGCGACCGGCCGTGACCTCGAGGCCTGAGCGACCAAATCGAACCCGAACAAGGAGCTGCAGCAAGGGCCTCGACGAAGCGGGCAACGGCGTTCACCTCACGAGAACACGACAGCGGACGTTCACTCGCTTCAACTCCCTATGTCGTTTCAAATCTCCAATCATTTCAACGTTTCGGAGCACGCCTGCGGCCGAAAGGTACCTGCGAGCCGCTTGGGCGCTCGCTCATGCGGAGAGCCACAGAAGCCGCGCCTTGCGAAGTGACGCCCACGGGAACCTGACACAAAGGAGCACGCTGCTTTCCAGATTTCAGAGCGGGCGTTGAGGGACAAGGCCGAGGCAGGTTGGGGTGGCATCGCCTGCGAGCTGTTGGCACCGGCTTGAGAATCATTAGAATCATTAGAATCATTCAGCAAGCTCGGATGCCCGCTGAGCACCACACCTGAACATTGATGGTGGGACTGGGCCTCTGCGGGTACTTGGTGGGACTGGGCCTCTGCGGGTACTTGGTGGGACTGGGCCACTGCGGGTATCTCGGTGGAGATCCTGTTGCTCAAACACAACAAGAGCAACTCATGTTGTGACATCGGAGCATCTGTCCTTGAGCTGCCATGGCGCTGCGCTAAAGGACCTATGGATCAAAACCTGCTCAGCTTGCAACATTTAGCACTTGGATTGCTAAAGCTTCTCAGGTAGAGTCTAAGAGTCTAAGAGGCGTGTGGCCATGCCCATCCTATCTTTCCCGCCGTCTAGCATTTGCCCGAAATGCGGGTGATTCGAGCCGCACAAGCGCAGTCGGATGCGGGAAAAACTCAAGGCCCAGGGCCCGAAAAGGCCCCAACACAAAGCAGCTCAGCAGCTCAGCACTGGACGAGGCGGTTGCCAGGAGCACAAAGATACATACAAACAGAGAGCAGTAGGCATCGGCCTGCCGGCTGAGGGACCGGATGCGGGGCTGCAGGGCGGATGCAGTCCCTGCCTTGGATGCTTCTACCACGCCCACCTGATGGAAGCAGAAGCACTCGCACCACTCACCTGCCCACCTGCCCACCTGGGCCAGAATCCCAGCCAGCAGCACTGCCAAACCGCGGACCTCGGTAAGAACTTGACGAGAAAGAGAAGGGGGAGAAGGGGGAGAAGGGCTCCCACCATGTCAGCTCCCAAATGGGCAAGTGCTCCAAAGAGGTTCATGTTCGAAGCCTCCGGCCACAGCTCGCTTTGAGTCGCTGCTCTTCTCGCGCTGCGCCTCTTCTTCCAACAGCTTGGACTTGCTACTCTGCCAGGTGCAAAGTACCTCCGAGTCAGAGACTGCCTGGGATTCTTGGCCCCAAGGGGTCACCACGCACACGTCTGCGGCCAAATTCACGGCAGTGAAGACGATCATGATCACGCTATTGACCTGCAACTTTCAGCACGCTGAAGCTCCGGCTGACTGTCTCAATTCCCAAGCGACGCATTCCCTTCCCAAGGTGCGGTGGCCATGGCGCGCAATCCAGCCTCGAGGTCGAGCTGCGTCCCATTCACCTGGGAGCTCGTTTGGCTCGTTTGGAGTCCTGCCTGGAGTCCGGTCGGCGCCTGCACGGCCGATTCTCGCTCCTCACCCACCAGCCGCTCGACGACGTCGAAGAGCACCCACGCCCTGCCAGAGACTTCGGCGCTCGGCCCCCGAGATGCCGAGGGCGTCGCGTCGTCGCAGCCAGCATCGCAGCGCTGAAGAAGGCAGCCTCGGAGTCGAGAGCTCAAGGCTCGGCTTTGGTAATCCGCTTGGGCAAATGCGATTCTGTCCAGGCGTTTGGCATCCTGGCACATGGCACAAGATGGCACAAGATGGCACAAGATGGCACAAGATGGCACAAGATGGCACAAGCCGCTCATGCTCAAGCTACTCTAGCAAGTGTCCTCTGCGGAGGATTTTTGCCTCTCGGCGTACAAGCTGACGGCATAGGAAACCTGCCAAGAGCAAAATGTCTTGAGCACGCTGCGGTCTGAGTTCATCACGCCATCCATGGCCATCAAAGCGCCGTCGCCCAGGAGGGCCAAGGAGTTCCTGAGGCTCAAATGCCACACCGAGTTTTACAAATTCTCTGAGTGGGGCACGCGATGAAGCCACAAATAATCTGCATGCCTCAGGCAATCCCAATGTGAAGGAAACACTCTGCAACTTGCGTGCCTGTGAGGAGGCTGTTGACGCCTAGCATCAGCCAAAGCGTCCTTTCCTCACATGCCAACCCGTGCCAACACGTGCAAACACATTCCAACACGTGTCGACAGCACATGCTACCACGTGCCAACACGCGCCAACACGTTCTGACACTTGCCAACACCTGACAACACGTGCAAAACATGCCAACACATGCCACCACAGGCCAACACATGAAAACAGGTGCGAAAAATGCCGAAATATGCCAGCACGTGATCACACATGCTGCCAACACGTGCCAACAAGTGCCGACAGATGACAGGTGGATAACCAGCCCTGTCAACATCGAGCAAAGGGGCATGGCACATGCCAATACGTGCGCATGGTTAGCTTTGCTCCGAGTCGCGGTGTCGTTGCATCGGGTCCCGGTGCTGGCTAAACTGCCCTCGCCTGGCACGAGCGACGCCGTCCCTGCCGAGGCCGACGCTCGTGGCCTTCAAATCCCATGCAGGGGCCGACATGGGCGCAGCGCTGGCGGGCAGCTACAGCTAAAGTCGGCTAGTGATCCGGTTGTGACGATTACCAAACACTTCTGCATAGTCCACGCCAAAACATTGCCCTGACCGCACATCTGGCTTGGGCAAATGCTGAGAAGTGCTGCATGCCTACTCAGGCGCACCGAAATGAAGCAAACAACATGCACGTGCAAGCCGAAATGCCTCGACAATTGGTCAACCTCTGGGGCAATGAGAGAGCAATGTGCAGCTCAACTCTATCACCATTGCACTGCAACATTGGATTGGATGGTTGGCGCGTCATTTGGAGGGGGATCTGCGACTCCACAACAGGTAGGTTTTGTCTCCCCCAGGGCTGGCTTTTTTCGCGGGCTGGCTGGCATCCCGGCATCACTAGCCTCACCCTTGGCGGGGCTTGCCAGTTGGCTCTGATTGGGTGGCAGTTGGGAGTTGCTGGGGGCTGGTGTAACTTCCGGGGGGGTTAGGCTGGCTTAGATCTTCATGAGGGTGGGTCTTGAGGTGGTTTGGGGTTGATTTACGCGAAGCAAAGGGCTGACATCCAGGCTGCTGTTGGGCGGGTTTAGGGTTGACTTTGGGTAAATTTGGGGTTGGCTTGGGAGCTGACTTGTATTCGGTGTGCTGCCGGTTAAGCGGGGGCTTTTAGGGTTGCTCAGGGATGTGGTTATGTGAGTTTTGGTCTCGCTTAGGATTCGTTTGGGGGCGCCTCAACCCCAAAACCACCTCAAGACCCACCCTCATGAAGATCTAAGCCAGCCTAACCCCCCCGTAAGTTACACCAGCCCCCAGCAACTCCCAACTGCCACCCAATCAGAGCCAACTGGCAAGCCCCGCCAAGGGTGAGGCTAGTGATGCCGGGATGCCAGCCAGCCAACCAACCAACTAACCCAAGGCAAAGAAACACCTCATCCCTCCACAACACATAAAACAAAAACCGCCAGTCCCGTTTTCTGACATTAGCACAACCTCCTTCAGACATCTACAGCTGTCAAGTCAACAAGCTGCCAATGGTCCCAAAAGCAAAAGCAGCTAGAAAGAGCTGGCCGAAGTGTACGGATCGTACGGATCGTACGGATCGTACGGCTCGTACGGCTCGTACGGCTTCTGGCATTTGAGATTTCTGAGATGTCATGCCCAGTTCGAGTGCGAGTTCCCTTTCTCGCCACGTCAGAGGTTGGCCGACTGAGCCGCGGCCTCCAGCAGCACAGAGCGCAGCCGTCCATACGCCTCACAGGCCTCCTCCTGCACGACGGGGTATGCAAACGGAAAAGAACAACCAGAAACCCCCCAAAAAAAGGACAAAAAAGGACAAAAAGAGCCGCACCACCGCACGCACTCGCCTGCAGCTCCAGGAAGCGGCTCGATTCCATGGGCATGGCTGCCAGCAGCGGCTCGAGCTCCTCCAGCGAGCCCAGCAGCGCCACGCAGGCGGACTCTCCAGTACCTCCACAGATCCAAAGCTCCAAAGCTCCAAAGATCCAAGCCCGTCTGCGTTTGCAATCGAAGCGAAGTTGTACCGTACCAGACTGTTCATACCGGGCATGCCGGGCATGCCGGGCATGCCGCACCAGCGCCTGGCCGGGCGAGCTGCTGCGTCAGCGCGGCGTTGGCGCGGCGCAGCTCTCGAAGCTCCTGGAACAAAACCAAGAAGCTCCCGAATAAGAAGCTAAGAAGCTGCTGGCTGACTCAGCGCTCGTGAGGAATTTGAGGGTCCCTAAGATTGCTTCGACTTGAGTGTTTCAGGATCCCACAGAATCTTCATGGGGTCAGAATCTTCATGGGTTCTGTGGAGACGTAATTTGGGGATCCGGCATGGGACGCGAACCCCAGAACCCGATTGCTGGATTCAACTTCCGAGATCAAGGATTCTCACATCAAGCGAAGCGAAAGGAAGCGACGTCGCTCGGGGGCGCTCGCCTGCGTCTCTGTGTCCGTCGCCCTGAGGGCCTGGACCTCTCGGCTGAGCTTCTCCATCATGCCTCCCACACCCTCAAATTGCCGCCCGTTTGCTTTCTGATTGCTTATTGCGGTTTTCGTGTTTATCTTTTTTCTGCTCTTTGATTGCCTTCCCATTGGTTTGCTCTTGGAATTGTTCTCGTTTTATGTTACTGTCTCTGTTGTAGGACAGTTTCGCACTTCTTGGGGTCGGCCTCACAAAATGCGCGACTGTCCCAAACAATCAATCCTGGCAAGCCGAGACCCCAAAAAATCTGGAGACTGTCCAAAAAACGAACAGTCCTGCAGAGTTTTCGATTCAAATTCTAACTGAAAGATTGAAATGAATCTCCTAAGAAGGAAAGCACCTTTAATAGTTGTTGACATTCGAGTTCTATGTTAAATCTGCTTGGAATCCTATATAGAAAAAGGTACGAATGAAGCTAGATTCTGCTGGCATTCTTGCCTTCTTCACTTCTAGCTGAATCTTGATTGAACAAATCCTTCTGGAAAAAAGCAAACCCGCCGTTAAAGTCCAAATTTAAATAAGAATGCCAGTTAAACTCTAGTTGAAATCGTATTTAGAAAGGAAATCATATTGAAACTATTATTGAAACTCGCAATTCTACTACATCTTTAATGGATTAAAATCATGGGAAGGAAATCTCATGAAGTCTAACTTGAAGCTTGTTTGTAAACTGAAAAGTAATTGAAGTCCTCTTTCAAAAGGAAACCCTATATTGAGTTCCAGCTGAGGCTAGAATTTGTACTAGAACTTTTGTCTTACTAAGATCCATGTCTTGGTTGATCAAGTATGCAGGAACCTCTTGGAAAAGAATGCCCAATTTGAGCCCGAACTTGAAACTTCAAAAAACATACTATTGAAAACACGTACTTGCCAGGAGGCGAGTCCACCACGTAGTCAATGACAAGGCAGTTCGGGTTCGAATCCCGTGGGGTGACCAATACCCTCGACAATGGAGTCGTATAGTAGCGGTCGTTGTAAAAGGGGGTTGTAAGGTAAATGATCTGCGCTGTCTCACGACTCGATGCGACGGCGGAATACGGACCTTTTGCTTTGCTTCACAGCTGTATTCTGGATGTTTGCCTCCAATGCATCATCAAGGTCTTGAGCCAAATGCATTCGCGTGTACATGTCGGCTGCACACAAAACACCATTTCCCCCAAAGGTTTGAGGGACCTTAAAAGAGGGGAAAGAACAGGGTGACCCTCAGAACCTGCCCGTAGGATCTTTCAGCCTGCGGCTCGCAGATTCTTAGCATCCCCCATCCCGGGCTTTGGTTCATTTCTGGGTCGGGAACTAATCACAAACGCATGCCGACACGCATGGACGCACGGCTTCTCTTTTTAAATTCAGTGAAACGTCTCTGCACAAGTTTGACCAGGTTCTGCAAATTTAACAGGAAATGAGAATGCTACAGGTCACGTACCGGACCTCATGTGCAATGGCGCACATGCAGCAAGCTATCTATCAGGTAATTGTACAGATCCAGACAGAAAACGAGTTTCCGTGACTAGCATAGTCCATCACCAATTTGTAACCAGTAATAAGTGTAGCATCGAATAATCATTGACCACCAAATACTTGGCATCTCCAGAATAGTAGTCGCCAATGACGAGTACCACAAGGGCTGACCATGATACCATGCACGATGAGTATCACGATCCCATTGTGTGCAAATTCCAGCAGATCCCCCACATAGAAGAAATCGTAATGGAAATGCTTGATCACCAGTGTGATGATTCAGCGATGGCCTTTCTACTCGCCCTCCACCGGAACCTTTCTAGCAGAGAATGTGGTGTCTCCTCGGTCCGATTGATCTTCTCGATATAGCGCGAGGGCAGATGTATATTGCGAGTAAAGCACCATTGGATAAGAGGAGTGTCAACCTCTTTGACGCTTTGAACGCAAATGATGGCACCAAGTTCAACTTTCAAGAACTTACGTCCAATGAGCACACCATAAATTTTCGTAGGTCGTGGGCCTGGGCTTCAGAGCCACGTGACCGGCAGAAATGGACCCGCCTTTTGAAAGAACAACTCCCCCATGAAGCTGCCATACCCGTAGTCCATGAAGCCGTAGTCCAAGAGACTTGCACCGCTCGCCTTGACAGGATGAATGCAATATTCACCTCAATCCAAGTGACTGCCTATCTAATCCAGACAGCAGTGTGGGCGCTTGCTTTTTTCGGTTGTGCTTTTTGCCAGTTGGTCTTCAGCACTTTGAGGCCTTAAGGTCACCCGCATCCTGCTCAAAATCCCATGCTTCGCCATGGCTTGCTTGTAACACGCTAACCACCAACATGATGGACCCGGAAGAACATGTTCACTTCCAGATCTGGAGGAACCTTAAGAGGTACCTCTACCGAATATTGCGCGAATCTGTTCGGTAGAAGGTCATGTAGTCGCAATTGAGGCAAAGGGCAATGCGTCGGAATATCGTGCCGCTGACGAAGGCAATATCCTTCTGGTGCCTGACACCTCTAAATTGCTCTGCGTTTATACCAAGTGTATTGCAGGCGGTCCAAATCCGATACATAATGCGCCAGCTCCAGGAACCAAAAGAACATCTCTTCGTCCCTGCGGTTCGCACTCACATTTCTGAATTTTGGAGCGGCAACAACTTCGTTATAGGTGGGTGGGACTGGAATGTTCTATCCGTCGACTTCATTGAAGATCCAGTCGTCCCTCCCATTGATCGCGATGTAGGGACAATAGACTCTGCCACCTTTGCCAGCTTCCTTGACCACGTCTGCCTCGTTGTTGGCGAATACCTTCCACACTCTGAACTCGTCAGGGTTGTCCGGACAAACTCCGCATCTTCGTCGTCGATGTCCGTCCTGATGTCCGATGGAAGGTACGACTTGCCTGCAGACCGTTCCTCACTCATCTCATTGGTGTCGGGTCGTTCTTCCTCGGCGATGATGCGCTCAGCATCTTCTTTTGCTTGTCGCTGAGCTTGCTTCACTTCCTCCGTCACGTTTACGTTTGCGGTGTCGGATGGCTTGGGCTTGTCGT